ATTTTGAATTCTAACAACAACAAATACTGGCAGGCAGGGATGTGAGGGAAAAGGAACCTTACTGCACTGCTGGTGGAATGTAAACTAGTCCAACTACTCTGGAAAGCAGTCTGGAAGTTCCTCAAAAAACTATATCCCTACAACCTAGCCATACCACTCCTTGGCATCTACCCTGGGCATCATGAGCCAGGAAATGATAAGGACAGTTGCACATTCATGTTCATTGCTACCCTATTCACAACAGCCAAGATAAGGAAACAATCCAGATGCTGCGCAATGGATCCAAAAATGTTGTCTTTATATACAATAGAATTTTACACAGCCATTAGAAAGAATAAAATAATGTCATTTTCAGGGAAATGGATGGAACTAGACAAATCATGTTAAAGAGAGCAGAAAGACAAACAGCACGTGTTCTTCTTGATATATATGCAAGTTAGATCTACAATGTACTGGGATATGACAAAGCACACAGTATTCTAGATATCCACATACAGAGAGACCAAAAGATAGTCTTAGGAGATAATCACAATGGTGAATTACCTAAGCACTTCTTCATATGCATATAAAATTATATATATATAGAAACAAACTCCAAAGATATAGAAACAAATGACTTTTTTCTTAATTTGTTTTTCTCCTTATGTTGACTCTGTATTTCTGGTATTTCTGACATTGCAGAGGGTGGGGAGAAGGTTCAGAATCAGAGGAAAAAGTGTGGAAAATGCAGCAATGGAGCACACTGGCGGCACTGGACATTGATGAAAGTGAACTATGCAACTCATTGGTGGAGATGGGAGGAAGGGAATGAGGGAACAAATGGCACTATGCAAAAGGAAATGTACTTATTACCTGACCTATGTAAAAGTAACCCCTCTAAAACAATAAAGTAAATTAGAAAAAAGTGATGCTATTTCTATTAAAAATAGAATTTTTTGTCTACAACCTGCAGCTAGCATCTGCTCAGTATCCTAACCCATTATCTATAGCACCAGCCCAAGATATGGGACAGCTGCAATTATTAACTGTAGGAAGTCAGATTGTTACTTGTAGCAACAATGCAAAAGGCCAATCAATAACCCTGTAACAACTGGTCCTGAATGTCAGGACTCAATAATTTAGAGCTTCCTTGATTTGTGTCTCCTCTTCCAATGAGGAACCAGAGACACAGACACAGACACACACACACACACACACACACACACACACACACACACACACACACACACACACACATACACCCTACCCAGTCACTTGAGTTCAAGACTCAATAATTTAGAGCTTCCTTGATTTGTGTCTCCTCTTCCAATGAGGAACCAGAGAACACACACACACACACACACACACACACACACACACACACACACACACACACACACACACTACCTAGTCACTTGAGTTCAGGACTCAATAATTTAGAGCTTCCCTGATTTGTGTCTCCTCTTCCAATGAGGAACCAGAGACACAGACACAGACACAGACACAGACACAGACACACACACACACACACACACACACACACACACACACACACACACACACACACACACACACACACACACACACACCTACCCAGTCACTTGAGTTACCAGCTTCTAGTTAGATACCTGCAGCTGCCCCATGTCAGCAGCCAGAGAACAAATGGGACCAGATCCTCCTGCTGTTCCACTGTGAAGCTAACCCACTGCTCTGCCCACCTTTGAGTTTCCACCAAAAGCAAGGCGTAGGTCTGGCTGCCTGTTTTACAGCAAGCCCAGAGTGTATCCACTTGTCCTACCTGAGTAGAAGCAGGGAGACAGGGACAAAAGAGCCACTTTCCACAGATGGATTCTATCTAGACTCTCCCTTCTCAGCTTTTGCTTCTTTCTTTCCATAAACTTGTTGAGGGACAAAGGGGATGAAATAAATAAAGATGCCCCAAGCCTGACCAGCCACGAATCCTGGGTCTCCGCTGGGGGCAGGCAGATTGTCCTCTCCCTGGTACTGAGGTAATCCCCCTCCACCAAGAACCCAGAAGAAGACACAATGCTCCTCGCCATGCCTCCTCCACACACACAAACGTGGACTTTGGTGCTGAAAGAGACTTGAGCCGAGGGCCAGATGGGGAATCAGCTCCAGCTCACCCCGTCCCTGGCCACATAGCCCTCAATACGCTGTGTGAAATCCAATTAGCAGTGGGCCAGCCTTTCTTTGCAGGCAGGGCTCTGCACTGAGGAGGCGTTCGAACGGCACCCAATAGGCTTCTGACCCAAAGGGCATCATCCTAAACACTTCTCTGCAGCTGAGCCCCATGCTGCTGGTGAGGGCTCCTCTCCCCCCCGCCCCACTCTGTGTATGAGACACTTATGGCCCCACTGTCAAGTCCTCTGAAAGCTTTTCTTTTCCCTCCCTCCTTCTCTTTTCCTCCTTTCCTCCCTCCCTCTCTCTCTCCTCTCCTCCCACCTACTTCCTTCCTTCCCTCCCTCCCTCCTTCTCTCTTTCCCTCTCTCCTTCCCTACTTCTCTCCTTGTCTCCCTCCTCCTCTTTCTTCTTGCCCCCTTCCCCACAGCCTCCACCTCTGCCACTACCACTACCACTCTCAGGAAGCATCCATTCCTCTGCCCAGGAGTCTTCTGGCACATAGTCCCCATCAGTACCTTACCCAGGCTCCAGAGGTGAGGATGTATTTATCATGCAAACCTGGGCTACTGCAAGGAGACAGACACCCTGGCTTATTCACCTCCTAGGTTTTCCTACCTCCAGACACTGGTCTGGAAAATACCAGGTGCTCAGAGGACTGGACTTGAGAAGAATACACTTGACCTCTTATCTAACCCCAAAGGAAATCCCTGTCTGACTGCCCTTCCTGGGGGTGCCCATGCCTTCTCAACTTTTCTTTTTTTTGGGGGGGGGGGTTCCGGTCGTGGGGCCTGAACTCTGGGCCTGGGCGCTGTCCCTCAGCTCTTCAGCTCAAGGCTAGCACTCTACCACTTGAGCCACAGCGCCACTGCCGGCTTTTTTCTTTTTTGCTTATGTGGTGCTGAGGAATCGAACCCAGGGCCTCATGCATGCAAGGCAAATGCTCTATCACTGAGCCACCTTCCCAGCCCCTTCTCAACTTTTCTAGAGTGGAAATATCTACCTAAGTTTGCTAGATTCCGTACTAGAGGACACTTGAACTAATATAGGCAGCCTGAGAAAAGCATCTCTGACCTGGGCAGTGGATAACCTGGGTCCCAGTCCTAGGTGTCCTGTTGGGTTGCCCTGGACCAGCCCTCTTTCCATGGTCCTCCTTCTCTATCCCAGAAGTGGAATGGTAGAGGCAATGCTAATATTTCAGGAGATTGTCACAATTAGTATTGGTGGGCTAAATCTACCTTAAAAACGTTCCATTGGCCTTTGGATTTTGTAGTACTTAAAATTCACAAAAAAATGCTTATTTCCCATATCTACTAAATAGTTAAACAGTGGGTGACACAGGCCCGTTGTCTCTCATGGCACACTGGCTAAAGCTGAACAAGGCTAAGTTGCCACAGTCCCCACCACTTTCTATTGCTCTACCCCCAACCAGAATCCCTCATTAGTTGCACAGTCATATCCTAGGCATTAATGTTTATAACCCCTGAACTGTGGTTCTCAATCTTGGCAGCCAGCGCCTTAGAATGGCTCATTCTGGGGGTACAACCAAAATTAATGTGTTTTTAGAAAAGCTCCTCAATTGATTCTGATTTCAGCTAGGGACAAGTAGTTGAGGAAAGCAAGCAGAGAAAAGCAGGCCCAGGCACCAGGGATGGCTCCTGGGAAATGGACCCGCAGTCATCAGAACTTTTCACTTTATAGGTATGAAGGCAACGAGCATTGTGAGCCTTCCCAGAAGCGACCCTCCCCTTCCTCTGTACGATTCTCTGTGAACCTTGCTGGTAGCCTTTCCAGGACCTCCTGACCCCCTTCTGAGCCATTTTGCACAAGCTTCTTCCTATTGGAAGTAGCGGGACTAGGTTTGTCCATTGCCTTCTGGGCATGCCTCCTCAAGGAAGCCTGCCAAGCTTAAAATCTGCTGCGTGAGATAGACTTGCCCTAGCTGCTCCTGTGCCACTGGCAATTTTAAACCCTACTCATGCCTTAGCAGCCAGGGAACCCTCAAAGGCAGAGACTACCTTTCCTAGGCTCCTCCTGCTCTCTCCCATCCCCCTGCCCTATCATTCTACAAACACACAAGTGACTGGGTTGTAGCATCTTGGCACAGGTGGCAGGAAGGAGCGTTGCCTTCAGAGAAAGGAGTGGGTGCCATGGTGTCAGCATCAGGCTTAGCCATCCAAAAGAGCCATTTCCGAAGCTCTGCAATGCCCACCACTGGCTTCCTGCCCATCTGCCTCCTGGCACCACATCTGTGTGCTCTGTGTGCCCAGAAAGAAAATGCCAACTGGCATCATTCACTCCTAAGCTGGGAATGCAGCATGGTGAACAATGCTGCACGGGGTATGTAAAGTCCCTCATTCAAGTCTACCAAGAATCATTATTGCCGGGCCTCAGGGCCTAAATGCCCTCCTGCTGGTCTGTTCAAAACAGAAGAATCAGGGCTGGGAAGTTGGCTCAGTGGTAGAGCGCTTGCCTTGCATGCTTGAGGCCCTGGGTTCAATTCCTCAGCACCACATAAGCAGAAAAAGAAAAAAGCCAAAGTGGCGCTGTAGCTCAAGTGGTAGAGCACTAGCCTTGAGCTGAAGAGCTGAGGGACAGCACTCAGGCCCAGAGTTCAGGCCCCACGACCAGAACCCCTTCCCCCCCCAAAAAAACAGAAGAATCAATGGAAGACCGGCACCCTTAGCCCTCACTCAGTCTGATTCACAACCAGCTGGAGTTTGATGTTGACTCAGGTCTACTTCAGAGTTGACCCCTGGGAATGACTTTGTAGGTTGGCTTGACCTAGGACTGGCTTTGGTAATGTCCCTCATACAGAGTGAGAGCCTGGAGGACAAGGGTTTGCCACTCCCTGTGGGCCTGAACTGTTGACCAGGACCTACCTCTGAGCTGACTGAACGTGGTCATGAACTTGCTGGTGAGGGACTTGAGCTCATTGTTCGCCAGTGTGATGAGGTGGATTTGGTCAGAGACATTCCGCAGGACCTTGTAGATGCCAATGGGGAAGGAAACCAGCTTGCACTCTGCCAGGTCTGCAGCCAAAGGACAAACACAGATCAGAGTTATCAGCCACAGCTGCTGAAGAAACTGCCCAGACCCACAGGGACCCAACACATCTCTCCTCCTGCCTGTCTCATTCCTGACTTTAGAACCTGCCCTTTTTCTCCCAGAAGGCCCCTGTCAGCAGCATCTAGTACTTTCTTTTTTTTCTGGGGTCCAGTTGTGGGGCCTGAACTATGAGTCTGGGCACTGTCCCTCAGCTCTTCAGCTCAAGGCTAGCACGCTACCACTTGAGCCACAGCGCCACTTTCGGCTTTTTTCTTTTTGCTTATGTGGTGCTAAGGAATCGAACCCAGGGCCTCAGGCATGCAAGGCAAGCGCTCTACCACTGAGCCACCTTCCCAGCCCACATCTAGTACTTTCTGTTACTACTGCTTGCTAGCAGTTGGTCATGGGGCCTGAACTCTGGGCCTGGGCACTGTCCCTCAGCTCTTCAGCTCAAGACTAGCACTCTACCACTTGAGCCACAGCGCCACTTCCAGCTTTTTCTGCTTATTTGGTGCTAAGGAATTGAACCTAGGGCCTCATGCATGCAAGGCAAGCAGTCTACCACTGAGCAAAAACCTTGAGCAAAAAAGCTCAGGGACAGTGACCAGGCCCTGAGTTCAAGCCCCAGAAATGGCAAAAAAGAAGGAGGAGGACGATGAGGAGGGTGAGGAGGACGAGGAGGACGAGGAAAGAAGAGGGGAAGGAGAAGGAGAGGAGAAGGGAAGGAAGGAAAGAATGGAAGAAAGAAAGAAAAAGAAAAAAGAAAGTAAGAAGGAAGGAAGCAAGCAAGCAAGCAAGCAAGCAAGAAAGAAAGACGAAAGGATGGAAAGAAGGAAAGAAAGAGTACAATGCACCCAGGCCCGTCACACAGCTGCCAGGCTCCAAAGAAGCAGCCAGGAAGCTTCTATGCATAATTTCCTGGTGGCTCCTCAGTGATTGAACAGTGACTGTGTGACCCCTGAGACCACTCCCCCATATGCACCCAGGAGAGTGTAGACACAGACCCACACATACAACCACTTTACATGATGCAGTGTTATGCATAATAAAGTAGAACAAGTCAAATGTCCATCAATGGTCCATCAATGAGAAATGGACCAACTACATATGATATGTCAAAAAAATAAATAAATAAATAAATAAACTCAGGCATAAAAAGGAAATGCCAAAGTGTGCTAGAATATGATGGATATAAAAACATGATGCCAAGTCAAACCTGTCACAAAAGCCACACGTTATATTGCTCCCCCTTTTTTTGTTGGTTGTGTGGCTTGAACTCAGGGCCTGGGCTCTGTCCCTGAGCCTCTTTGTGCTGATGGCTAATGTGGCTCCCTTTATAATAAATGCCAGATGAGGCAAGTCCACAGGGACAGGAAGTATATTAGTGGTAGCACAGAGATAGAAGGGAAGAGATGATAGGGGCGGTGACTATGGGGTTGGGGGCTCTTTACAGGGAAAATAAAATGCTCTTAAATTGGATATTGGTGATGATTGCACAACCTTATGAATACTGTATAACAAAGCCAAGGAATGGTACATTGTTGTTATTTTTTTTTAACTTTACCATTTGATCCATGTGTCAACATAGTATACTTTAAATGGATGAATTATATGGCAAGTGAGTTACTCTCCATGATGATGACATAGGGGAGCACGTGTGTATGTATTTAAGGTAGCACCCAAACACCAAAATCTCAGAGCTCAGAAATTAGACTGCCTAGCTTATCCTCTAGGTTTCCTCATCTGTAAAATTAGACTATTATCCTATGCCTGCAGGGTTGTCATGGAAACGATCATAAAATGATGGCTCACAGACCACCTGGAAGCTAAGTGGGCAGAGGGCCATCTCTGTTGTCTCCTCCCCTCCCACTGTGCTGTCAATCTCCTCTCTGCTCTATCCACCTCCTCCTTGCCTCTAGACCAGCACCCGTCCCACATCTTCCTGAAGCATGCTGGGGAAATGATCATCTCCTGATCCTGGTCCCCAGGAGATCTCATTACTCTGCCAACATCACCCCATCTAGCTCAGCAAGACCCTTTTCTCTAGAAAGGAGAAATCCAAGCCTCTGAACCTTTGCAGATGGCTCTAAAACAACTATGTAAACTTCCATAACATTCGCATTATACACCAGAATAAGCCAGGTGCCAGTGGCTCACACCTGTAATCCTAGCTACTCAGGAGGCATCTGAGGATCGTGGTTCAAAGCCAGGCTGGGCAAGAAAGTCTGTGAGGCTCTTATGTCCAATTAACCAGAAGTAGCACTGTGGCTCAAAGTGGAAGAGTGCTAGCCTTGAGCCAAAAATCTCAGGGATAGCCCCCAGGTCCTGAGTTCAAGTTCCCATGACCAACAACAACAACAAAAAAATTTTTTAAAGAAAAACAAAGGCATGGATTTAAAAGGCCCTATTCCTAACAGCAACAATAATACAGAGTATACAGAAATGGTCATAATTAAAACTTTTCTCCTTCAACTGCCCTATGGAATTTCTACTCTTGCTTTAAGTCCCAGTTCAAATGTCATCTCCTCTTTGAAGCTGTCTCTGACTACCCTAAGCAATTACTGCCCCAGCCACTGTGTCTCATCATGAGAACTCTTCATCCTGCACTGTATCAACCACTCCTTTTGTGGTCTGTTTTCCCACTAATCTAGAAATATACTACCAAACCCTACCCTCCCCCCAAACAAAACAAAACAAACAGTGCCTAATATTCAACATAGGTGGCCTTGCTGAGCTGGTCCGAGAAAAGGAAAAGGACAGACAGACAAAGGGCAAAGGTCCAGATGACTAAGAGTCTATGAACTTCTCTGCCAGGTAGCCTGTCAAGAAGTATGATCAGTGCCTCTCGGTCCAGGGCTGCAAATAACTATAGTCCTGCTGTTTGTTATTCAGTGTCAGGGCCACCAGCCTGTATTAGCAAGTGAGGTCAGCAGAAGAGAGGTCAAGTTCCAAGTAGGAACAGATAAGAGAACAAGCTTCAGAAGAGACCAAGAACTGAACTGAAAGTTTACCAGCACTTCAGACTGAGACTCTGGGGTAAGCTAGGGATTCTAGGAAGAGCAATATTCAAACAATGAACTCCTTAATGCTTTGTGCCAGATGCACAAAGGACTAGAAAGAGTTTTCACAGAGTCCTTTGGTTAGGAGCAGGCAAATTTCATTATATAGGTCAGAAGCAACATCAAGGATACTGCAGTTTTCCTTAAAACAAGATGTATCTAAAGGATATCTTCATGGGCACCAGTGGCTCACACCTGTAACCCTAGCTACTTAAGAAGCTTAAGATCTAGGATCATGGTTCAAAACCACCCAGGCAGGAATGTCTGTGAAACTCATACCCAATTAGCCAGCAAAAGAGCCAGAAGTAGAACTATGGCTCAAGTGGTAGTGTACCACACATGAGTGAAAAAGCTGAGGGACAGTACTCAAGTCCTAAATCCAAGCCCCATTACTAGCTCAACATGCGCACACACACACACACACACGTCTTTAGTTTTCAACATCCCTGAGTAGGTCTTGAAAATTCTAGCCAATGAAAGAAAAAGCACAGACATCTGGTACAGGCCCCCAATATTATTATGTGCATATAAAGTGAATACACCAGCTCAGAAATGCAGACCAGTCATGTGGAAAGCCACAAGCATTAAAAAGTGACCAGCAAAGCAATCAAAATAGACTGTCAATTCATAACAGCAATAAAATAAAGTTTTTAAAGAACTTGTTCCAAGTCTTTCCATTTTCTAACAAATGGGGCAATGTCATTCTTAAGTGAAGTAAGCCAGGCCCAAAGAAACATAGGTCCCATGGTTTCCCTTATTTGCAATAACTAATACATGTGTAGGACAAGTAGAAAAGGCCAAAAGCTATGTACATATAACCATATAAAATGATGTTCAGTGAAATGAACCCCAAGATAGGGAAATAAATATCTTTTTTTCTTTCTTGCTATTGTTTCTAACATATTTATAATGTACCCTGTGATTTTTTTGTTGCTTTGTATGTTCCTCCCCCATGGTATAACCCCTGTCTTCACTGTATTTGATGTCGGTGCCCTGCATCCTGTATATACACTTCTCTAATTTGGGGAGAGGAAGGGAAAAAACAAAATGCTTAAATAAGGATGCTGGTTGACCCATTGTAACAATGAGATGTACAAAACACTATGTTGAAAATGAAAGCCGGGCGCTGGTGGCTCACGCCTGTAATCCTAGCTACTCAGGAGGCTGAGATCTGAGGATCACGGTTCAAAGCCAGCCCGGGCAGGAGAGACCATGAGACTCCTATCTCCAATAAACCACCAGAAAACCGGAAGTGGCGCTGTAGCTCTAGTGGTAGAGCGCTCGCCTTGAGCTGAAGAGCTGAGGGACAGAGCCCAGGCCCAGAGTTCAAGCCCCACGACCGACAAAAAAAAAAAAAAAAGAAAATGAACTTTACAACTTGGGCGGGGCGGGGCGGGGGGGGGGGGGGGGGGGGGCCGGGAGGGTGTTGTAGTTGTGGAGGTGGGAGGGAAGGGATGGTAGGGGGAAAACAAAGGAGGAGACAACAATGCTCAATAGGAATATTTGTTAACTTGCTCATGTAACTGTAACCCCTCTGTACAGCATTTTTACAATAAAAAAGTATAAAAAAGAACCTGTTCCAAATAACAGCAATAATATAAAATAGACAATCATAATAGAAAATGTATCTAACCATATGACCATGAAGAAAAGTTCAGAAGCCTTTTTTGTTATGCTTTTTTATTTTTAGAACCAGTACTGAGGCTTGAATTTGGAAGCTTGTGCTCTTGTCTAACCTTTTTTATTCAAGGCTGGAGCTCTACACTTGAGTCTTCATTTCCAAGTGTTGGGTTTTTTGTTCATTTGTTTGTTTGTTTGCTAGTTAATTGGAGATAAGAATCTTGCAGGATTTTTCTGCCTGGCTGGCTTTGAACTTAAGCTGTTCAGATCTCAGCTTCCTGAGTAGTTAAGGATTACAAGTATAG